GTTTCAAGTGTACCACTTACAAAAATTAAATCAAGCACAAATAAGCACTTTAAATAGACCTGTAACCACTAACAAAGAGAAACTCATCACAAGTTTCCCAACCGAAAAAAGACAGGGTCAGATGGTTTCAGTGCAGAATTCTACCAGAAATTCAAAGAAGAGCTAATACCGATAATCCATAATTTTTTCACACAATAGAAGCAGAGGGATCATTGAAAAACTCTTTTTACAGACTATAATTACCTTTATACCCAAACCACATAAAGAAACAACTAAGATAGATAACTACAGACTAATCTTCCTCATGAACATTGATGCAAAAATACTCAATAAAATACTGGCAAATTGAATCCAAGATTAAGTCAGAAAAATTATCCACCATGATCAAGTAGGCTTCGTCCCCTGGATGCAGGGATAGTTCCATGTATGAAAATCTATCAATGTAATCCACCACATAAACAAACTGAAAAGAAAAAAACCACCTGATTATCGCACTAGTAACTGAAAATGCCCTTGACAAACTTTAACACCTCTTCAGGATAAAGGTCTTGGAGAGATCAGGGATGACAGGAACATACCTAGACATAATAAAGGCAATTCACAGCCAACATCAAACTAAATGGAAAGAAACTCATTTTGAATCCTCTAAAATCAGGAAGAAGAAAAGGTTGTGCATTCTTCCCATATCTCTTTAATATTGCAATTGAAGTTCTTGCCAGAGCAATAAGACTACAAAAGGAGATCAAGGGGATACAAATTGGAAAGGAAGAATTAAACCTTTCACAATTTGCAGGTCACTTGAATGTGACCCAAGGAATTCTACCAGGGAACTACTACAGCTGATAAACACCTTCAGCAAAGTGGCAGGATACAAGACTAATTCAAAAAATCAGTAGCCCTACTACAAATAGAAAATAAAGGGACTGAGAAAGAAATCAGAGAAACATCACCCTTTACAATAGTCACAAAAACTTGGGATAATTCTAACCAAGTGAAAGATCCATATGACAAGAACTTGGAGTCATTAAATATAAAAATTAAAGAAGATACCAGAAAATGGAAAGATCTTCCATGCTCTCAGATAGGAAGGATCAGCACAGTAAAAATGGTAATCTTACCAAAAGCAATCTACAGATTCAATTCAATCCCTATCAAATTCCCAACAGGATTCTTCACAGATCTTGAAAGGATAATACTAAAATTTACATGGAAAAACAAAAAAAAAAAAACAGGATAACCAAACCAACCCTGTACAATAAAGGAACTTCAGGAGACATTACTATCCCTGACTTCATGATGTACTCTAGAGCTATAGGAAGGAAAACAGCTTGGTATGGGCAGAAAAATAGACAGGTAGAGCAATGGAATTTAACTGAAGACCCTGATATTAATTCACATAATTATGACCACCTGATATTTGACAAAGAACTGTTTTAGGAAAAAAGAAAGCATCTTCAACACATGGTGCTGGCATAACTGGATGGGGACATGTAGAAGATTAAAGATAGATCCATATCTATCACCTTGCACAAAACAAAAATCCAAATGGATCAAAGACCACAACATCAATCTACCCAAACTGAACCTAAGAAGAGAAAGTGGGAGGTGTTTTTGAACATCTGACAGAGGAGATCACTTCCTGAACATAATGCCAGTTGCACAGACACTGAGATTGATGATTAATAAATGGGACCTCCTGAATCTGAGAAGATTCTCTAAGGCAAAAGACACAGTCCACAACACAAAACCACAGCCCACAGAATTTATAAAGATCTTCACCAACCTGACATCAAACAGAAGGTTGATTTCCAAAATCCACAAAGAACTCAAGAGACACATCAATAGAGGGAGCCAGCATAGGTTTAGAGAGAAATCTGGCACCCAGAAATTGTACACAGATCTACCATGATGACCAAAACTAGGAATCTAAGCAATAGCAGAGAGACCACCTTAAATGCCCTTCCCCTATTATGAGAATGATGAATACCTGAAATGCCACCCTAGAGCTTCATCCAGTAGTTGATAGAAGCAGAAAGAGAGATCCACAGCTAAGCACTGAGCCAAACCCCTGGAATCCAGTTTCATAGAGGGATGAGTGACAAGCCTCGGGGTCAAGAACTTGCTGGTAAAATACACAGAAACAGCTGACCTGAGCAAGTGGGAACTCATGGACCCCAGTTTGACAGCTGGGAAACCAACATAGCACCAAAGGTGGGTGTCAGCTAGGAGCACTGGGTAGTATATGGGGCCTCTGGCAATGGAGCCGGATGTATCCCTAGCACAGGAACAGACTTCAGGAGCCCATTTCCCATGGAGGGATACTATATTAGCCTAGATACTCAGGTAAGGGCCTAAGCCGTGTCCCAATGACTTAACATATTTTGATGATTCCTCATGGAAGGCTTCACACCCCCTGGGGAGTGGATGGGTGATGGGAAGGGGGGTTGGTGGGAGGCATGGGAGGATGGGAGGAAGATGGAACTGGGATTGATATGTAAAATAAGATTGTTTCTAATTTAAATAAAATTTACATTAAAATAAAAAAGCTGAAACTGCTATGAGAACAACATGAAAATCACAGGAACTGACTGAGAGAGTACCCTAGCATGTCAAACTTTGTGATACACTTTGATTTTGATGAAATCCACACACATTGCCTTATATTGTTTTTATACAACGTGTAACTTTTCATGCAAATACCACCCAATGGAAATCAATACAATGTCATACATATATTTACATGTTGCCCTTGCAAATAAAACTAGGTAGAGGACATCACAGGATTAGCATTTAGTACTGAATACATTTTAAGATGAGTTCATTTGTGTATAGTGAAAAAATTTTGTTAGTTCTTGCTTTTCTTGACACACAAGATGGCTGGGCCACTTGAAACCTGAATATAAAAATATATAAAGTGCTGGGTATGGTGATGCATTCCTTTAGTCTTGGCACTTGGGAGGCAGAGGCAAGCAAATCTGTGTGAGTTTGAGACCAGCCTAGTCTACATAGTTAGTTTCAGGACTGCCAAGACTATATAGAAAGACTTTGTCTGAAGAAACAACAAAAATAAAAAAATAAATATAAAATGACAAAAGCAAATAAATTGTATTTATCCTTTATATATACTGACAATTATGAAATATAAATTTCCCATGGATATACAAAGTTAATAATATTAAAAGCATGGTTTTCTACAAATATAAGCCTATAATAAATTGCTAAATTCCATGAAGCTCAAAAATACACACACACACACACACACACACACACACACACACACACACACACTTACACTCAATAGTAAATGAACTCAGCAACTGTGCATTATAAATACATATGTTATATAGATACATTTGTGTGTGTATTTGTATGTGTGTGTAACAATAATAACAAAAATACATGCTTTTGAAAAGTGTGAGAAATACAAGAGAAATCGAAGGAAGCAGGATAGGGATGAAATGATGTAAACACTTATACATATATGAAATTCTCCCCCAAATAAAAAAAAACACAAACAAATTATAAGGGGAAAATGAGCACTAAACTCATAAAATAAATTGAAATTTATTAATCTTGTGAAAACAAATTTCAAATCTGCTTCCTCTAGACTCTCTTATATGTTGTGGTAGTCTATAAGTAGTTCATCCTCATAAAGTCAAAGGAAGTTGCACAATTAGGAGGTGTGGAGATTTTGGAGTAGGTGTGGCCTTGTTGGAGGAAGTGTGGTACTATGGTGGTAGTCCCCAAGTACTCCTATGCTCCAGATAACACCCAGTGTCTCAGTTCACTTCCTGTTGCCTGCAGGACCAAGATGTAGCTCATTGTCCAAGCACAGCTTTTACTCCAGCCCCATGTCCACCAGCAGGGTGTCATGTCCTGCCCTGATAATAATGGACTAAACCTCTAAAACTATCAGTTACCCCAAATAAAAGTTTTTCCTTACAGGAGGTGCCATGCTCATGGTGTCTCTTCAGAGCAATAGAAACCCTAATTAAAACATCTGTAAATAGTAGGAGATATGTGCTCAGTATACACACATCTTAGGTAATAATATTTGTCTTTGGCTTATGCTTTAGAATGAGTTTTTCCAAGGAAATCAGGTCGCATTTCTCATTCAAGAGTGGTAGTTGTATTTGTCCTTAGAAATTCTAACTTTCTATTCCTTGTAGATATTCAAGACCTAACTGGAATTATCAACCAGGTATGAATAAACTCACTTTTAAAATGTGTCCAAATGATCCAGCAACTATTAGACTTCAGTCTATAAATCTGCTCCTATTCATTTCTAGGTTATGATGATTCAGTGTCATATATGGACCCATTTTTACTTGGGGCATTCTCATATTCTTTCTTCAAATACACATTTATTTAGACAGAACCTCTTCCAATAGTTTCAAAAAAATCACTGAATTTTTGAAAGTATAAAATTAAGCTAGCTTTAGTTTTCACACATCACTGCTAATTAATCACTTCATAGTGAAAGTGTGATCTCAGAAGCACAAATTTTCCATGCCAATGTTAATGCATCCTATGGAAAATGATGCCTTCTTTATCAAACAAATGGCTAATTAATAAAATGTTTATGTGTACTAGCAAGTAGTGATTTCTTGGATTTTTAGATTAGCTTACCAAATGTAATTAATGATTCTTCTGTGTGTGTGGGGGGGGTGTCTGTATATCTCTGTGAAAAGTATATAAGCATGTATATACAGGTGAGGGTTTGATTTTATAGTTATCCATATGCATACTGATAAAAAAGTGAGGCACTGAATCTATCCATTTATTGCTCTCTACCATATTTTCTTAAGAAAAGGTATTCATTGAACCTTGACCTCAGTGATTTTAGTAAGAAAATTTGGGTTCTATATTATCTCAATTAAAAGTGTGCTTGCTACCATGTCTAACTTTTGACACTGGCGCTCAGAATCATTAATAATATCTGACATTTGCATAACATTGCTAATACATACCTGTCTGTCTCCCTGAAATGGAAGCATAATTTAATAGTCACCAGAAAGCATTATCAGTCTTCTCCACATTTTCCTGATAGCATTCTTCATTTCCTTATTCCTAAAAGTGTAAACCATAGGATTCACAAATGGTGTCATGATTGTAGCAAATACAAGTGCATTTTTTTCAGAAGAGAAGGCAGATGTAGGTCTTGCATATATTAATATGCATGATACAAAGAACAAAAGCACAACAGTAATGTGGGACCCACAGGTAGAGAGAGCTTTAAGTCGCCCTTCAGAATTGTGGGCTCTCAGAGAGTACAATATGACAGCATAGGAGATGAGTAGAATAGAGAAGATTATGATGCAAATAGATCCACTGTTAGCAAAAACCAAAATGACAAATATATGTGTGTCAGTACAGGCAAGCTTCAATAATGGGAACAAGTCACACATGAAGTGATCAATGACATTAGGTCCACAGAAGGGCAGCTGCAAAGTAAAGGTAATTTGTATGATAGAATGTAAAAAACCTCCTGCCCAGGATATTGCCACCAAAATGCTACAGAGCCTTCGGGTCATAATGGAAGTATAGTGCAAGGGCTTGCAAATGGCTACATAGCGGTCATAGGCCATGGCTGTCAGAACAATTACCTCTGTCCCAGTAAAGAAGTGTATAGCAAATAGTTGTATCATACAATATTCAAATGAAATGGTCTTCCTCTCATAGAAGAAGTCTGCAATCATCTTGGGTGTGACAGTAGATGAAGTGCATGCATCCAGTAAGGACAAGAATATTAAGAAAAAGTACATCGGGTAAGTAAGCAGTGAAGAACTATAGATGATGGTCACCACAATTATCATGTTGCCCCAAATAGTTACAAAGTAGATTAACAAAAATACAACAAACAATATTTTCTCAACTTTTGTGTTCTGTGAAAGCCCAAGGAGTATGAACTCATTGACAAAGCTCTGGTTTTGCATTATTCTCAAGAAGATGTTGAGATCTTCATGTAAATCTGAAATTATAAGAAAAGAATAAAGGTGTTAAGACTGGGCTGGTTAAACCCCAGAAACAGCTGACCTGACAATGATTAACTCTTGAATCCCAGGCTGATGCCTAGGAATGCAACATGAGACTGATCAAGACCCCCGGAATAGGGGTGTCAGTAAGAAGGCCTAGGTAATCTATTGAGCCTTGGGCAGTAGATCAGTATACATCCCGAGTATACACATGGACTTTGGGCTCTCATCCAACAATGTGAGAAGAACTCTCACCCTGAACTCCTGTGGGGAGGGCCTAGGCAAGGCCCTGGATGAAATGACAGACTATGGACACCCCCATGGAGGGCCTCACCCTCCCTGGGGAAATGAGGGGATAATGGGGGAGTTGAGGGGAGGGCATGGGAGGAGGGGAAGGTAAGGGAGAGGGACCTGTAACTGACTTTTGAACCAACCATGTTTCTAATCTAAATTTAAACTTAAAAATAAAAAAAATTAATAAAAAAGGAAAGAATACCTCATTAAAGTTTATATAACCATCAAGAACAAGTTTGTGTTCCGTTCATTATTTTGCCATATAAAAAGAATATTATAAATATTTAAAGATACAGTTGCACAGCAAGTAGTACTGAAGTTGAGATGAATTATTAAGTAGTTAAAAAAAACACAATTAATATATTGGAGTTAAAATCATCTACTTGTGTGAGACTAGAGCCAGTAGTCAACTGTGAAAGGTCAACTTTTATCAATGTTTATGTGATTTTGAAGTGAAGCATTTAAATGCATTTTAAACTGTTCTGAAAATAAATGAAGACCAGAATGTAAATCCTCATTGACTGATCAGAACACTGCCTCATCTACCAATGAAAGTGCAAGATATATTTTAGAGCACTCTTCAAAGTCATAGATTCATCCTAAGTATGTGAAAGTGTAACTTTATTGGAACTTACAATAACTCAATCTGCTTTCTTTAAAGGAGAAAATTATTTGGGCAAGTATGCAATAATCCTCACTATGCATATGTTGAAATACTGTTTTTTAGAGCATCACAAGAACTTTGCAAAGCTTATCCTGTTTTCATAACAGTTGAGTAAAATACATAAACTAAAATAAAATAGCAATAGCTCCAGTTTTAAATACCTAGTCTCAGCATTATGTCACAGTGGTTTGTGTTTTTCAATTGTGCTAAGTTACCATCAAAGATTTTATGATCAAATAAATAAAGATGCTAACCCTGGGACTTCAGAGTCTCCATTAGCATCCATAATGTCTCCACCAAATAAACAAGATGAAGAGTGTCATTGTTCTCCTTTGTAAGGATCTCAGGAAAGGGGTGTTCTTTCTAATCTCTTTTACTCTATGAAGGATAGTCTACTTTGTCCTTATGCAAATTAGACATCCTGTCAAAAACAACAGAGACAATGATGAAGAATCAGGAGGACAAGGAGCAATCATCTCTTAATGAAAATTAGAGACAACACATAGCTAAAAAAGAGTAACTATCCCTCAACTGACATTTAGTCTTCCAACTTAATTATTTTCCAAGATACAAGCTTTGAAACTTATAAGAATTCACTCTAAAATATTTCACAATATCATACCTGCTCATCTCCAACTATTAAATTGTTAAATTTGAAAAATATCAAAATATCACTCATGGCAGAATTCCTTTACAATGCTAGGTGTAATTATTTCTTGAGAAAACTCAACTTAGTCATCCACAGAAAGTACTTCCACAAATCCTCTGTGTAAATATTCCAGGGTTCTGATTCATTTTCCTCAGAAAGTCACAACACAAAATGTGTCTGTCTTTTACCCTATAATATTCTCATGTGTGAATATGTACATTCATATACATATTCATGTCTTATATTTGTTGGCATACATGTCTACAGTTACAAATATCTGTGTATAAAAAAAAATGTGGCCAGGCTGTGGTGGCGCACACCTTTAATCCCAGCACTTGGGAGGCAGAGGCAGGTGGATCTCTGTGAGTTCCTGGTTTACCGAGCGAGTTCTAGGACAGATTCCAAAACAATACAGAGAAAACCTGTCTAAAAAATGAGAAGAAAATGAAATGTTTCAATAACTGACATCTAAAGAAAGAGGACATTCCTTCACGTGTTTATAAATATGCCATGTGATAATGATTATCTATTTAGTTTATAGCAGTCATTTACATGATATCCTGAGGTCAGTTCCTCACTAGTATGTGTAAGATGAACTCTATCTATTCATATGCTATATCCAAGGAAACAGTGATGTGAAACAAACCCTATAAAGTCCCTGGATTGAAGTGATCACTTACAGTAAATTATGGTGACCACTACTTAGGTTACCAGTTGATCCTCAGAGCTAAAGCAGGATGGACAATGAGCTTATAAGGAGACAACAAGGCATGGTGCCCATGTATGAATGTCAGAATGGACCTTAGAATTTCTCACAATGAAAATAAAAAGGAAACTACACCTACTCTACACTCAGACATGTTATGAGATACAAAACTCTCACCTTATATGCTGCTGTGAATTGGTTCACTTTATGTTTCTAAAGTTCTGCAAGCCTTGGATTTCATTCTAAATGTCACAACAATAAGGTTAGAATCAAAAGCATAGATGTTAATGAGTGTTATAAACAAGTTGTCATATATAATCAGAAAGAAGTAAAAATACTTCATCCTCATATCCTCACATGTGGTCAAAATTGACAATTTCTTTTCTTCATATATATTCACACAGTAAATTTTTTATAAGATTCAGAGAACTTAACAGTTTCGATGCACAATACCTTCTCATGCTCTTTAAAATTAGTGGTGGTAGTCAGCTACTCCTACGAGAGCCTTCCTGTAAGAAGAAAACAGAGAGATTTCAAAGAAACCAGCCCTAAGTTAATTTGAAAATTAAGTGAATGTAGCTTCATTTTCCTAATTATAATAAAGATACCCAATGCTTGTTTGTTGCAAACAAAACATTACCATCATTTGTCAAGGAATCTAGTTTCTAAACTCATATTTACACATCCACTTTGGACAATAAATATTATGTAGTCATGGTTTATGATCCCATTGTGTTATGATTTTAAACCACTGAAAACAAAATTGACCAAAGAATAGGGAGTGATATAGATTTATTCTGACAATATAAAAGGGGTGTAGTTCAAAATTAAGCTAGATATAAATAAAGTGTTGATTTAAGTATGGTTTGTTCATGCTAATTTCATGATATTGACAAAGGTAATCACACTGAAGCAGAGTATCTGAATCATTTAAACCTATGTGAGTTATGTCCTTTGCCTTTTTTATCGTCATGTGATAATATAAAAGGAGACTAAACAGAATGTGAAGTAGCAAGAATAACAGCTTACTTTCTGTTATTAAACAACAAGGCCTTGTGCAATTTATTGAACTATCAGACTTCACAGTTTTGGGTCCGTGAAAGACAAAGGGGTAGATCTCTATTTTGTGATGAGGACAAGTGGTGGTAGAATGAGGGGGTGACAAAATATGATGCAGTCCAGGCTAGACACTAACACACCACTTAGCCTAGGATAACTTCAAATATCAGATTGTGTCTGTAGGTGGCTGTACATGCCTTTAATCCCACCACTAGGAAGACAGAGGCAGCCTGGTCAAAAGAGCTTTTCCTAGTACAGGCTCCAAAGCTACCATGTATCCTCTCTACACACACACACACACACACACACACACACACACACACACACACACACGAGAGAGAGAAAGAGAGAGAATGTGTTTCTATCAACACATTCTATAAACAATCAATAAAAAGATTTTAGTAAAGAACATTGAATATTTAAAGAGTATACATAGTTTTATGATAATTGAATTAGTCAAAGAAAAAATGTCAGTTTAAAACCATTTTAGGGGCTAGAGAAATGGCTCAATAGTTGAGAGCACTTATTGCTCTTCTCGGGGACTTGAATACAGTTTCTAGCACTTAAGGCAGGCTTTATAAATCTCTGTAACTCTAGATCAGGAACTCAGTTCCTTCCTCCAACTGTTGTGAACTCCTCATAAAAGGGCATATATCAAACAGACCAACACATTTACCCATGAATAAAAAAAAACACATTTTCAAAATCATACCAATTATTAAAAAATTATCTACTTAAATAATATTTGTGAAAATTAATCAGCAAACTAATGTAGAAACACAAGCATTTTTATATTGTTATTCTTAGCAATCCCAGCCAAGAAATTATATTCTAAAATAGAGTTAAAAGAAGGAAATTTGCATTATAATCAATTTTTAAAAATATCAAAAACAAAAATATCTAAAATACCATAACAAGCTAGCTATTATATACAACTGTTACAAATTAAAATTACAGTATAATAATATAGACAATACACTTATTAAAGCATTAGTAATATGAAAACCTTAAGCTTTTTAATAGTAAATTTAGGAAAAAAACAGAAGGAAATTAGTTATCCACTGGTAAATACTTAAATGGAGTTAAGATATGGAAGGAAAAACATAATATAATACTTTATTTATAGTATGGATATTGTTTCTATGAACTAAATACCTAAGCTTAAAGCCTACAAAATCTATTTTCCTGTATATTTCTGTAAGGGGCTCTGAGGTTTGTAAAGCTTTCACTGGCAAAAAATGAAACCATCAGTCTAACCTTATATTGCATCTGATGGTAATATTTTTTCTTTTTAAATTATTTATTTTATATTTGAAATTATAGTATAATTATATAATTACATCATTCCCCCTCACTTTCTTCCCTATATAGTATACCCTATATCTATCCTTTCTCAATTTTAAACTTATGACCTTTGTTTTCATTATTAGTTGTTGTATACAAATAAGTATGTGTTTAAAATATAGACCTAAATATAGATTTCTTGGTCAATAAAATTTAGAGTGTTTTTATAGTATAACCTTTTCATTAATGTCAGTACCATAAACTCAACCATTTGAACCTTTCACTTGCTCTTTAGCTTCTGATTCTGCATTCTCATA